GTTTCAATTGGCGCCCAACGCCAATTGAGGTTTCAGTAATGGAATCATCCATTTTAAATAGCTTAGGAACCTTCTTGTGTTATTTTGTCCAGGAGATCCATGTAAGTACCCCTTTTTATTCACTTTTTGTAGTTACCCCATTCTAGTCCACTTATTATTAACTTATTTACGGCCCAGTTCTCCAAACAAACCCAAAGTAGCCGTTCGCAAACGTTCCGGTTTGTTGTGTTTACCCTATCTCCACCCTTGTAATTTCTGCCCAATTTTCAACCCCCTATAATAATACCCTATGTGGTAGGCAAAATAACCGTCACAATATACCTATGGCAGTGATCATCACCTCTTATGCACATACGTAATATATTAAAGTAAATACAGTAAGACACAAGTATAACCAAATGGTAACCAAAAAAATCACTTATACGGGATATACAATATAAACTAGATCAGGAAAGCGTAAGCATAAGACACGATTAGATTGCAAACATTATTATAATAAAAAATGGATCTATCTATCAATATCTAATTAGCCTTCTTCGGTCCATCTTTGGACATAGGCCTCCCCAATTCTTTTCCATTCTTCTCTGTCTGTCGCTACAGTCATCCACCTAGAACCCACGTGCTTCTTGATATCATCTGCCCATCTCATTTGGGGCCTTCCTCTGCTTCGTGTATATTCCCACAGTCTCCAACTTATAAGAATTTTGTTCCATCGGTCTTCTTTTTGTCTTATATTGTGTCCGGAAATCTCCATTTCAATTTTGCAACTTCTTGTCTAACATCCCTCACTTTTCTTTTCTCTCTTATCCACTTGTTTCTCTTTTTATCCATTAGTCTTATGTGCAACATTTGTCTTCCCATTGCTCTTTGGGTTTTTATGATTTTGTCCATGTTCGCTTTTGTAAATGTCCACGTTTGCGAACCATAAGTAAGAACAGAGAGTATGCATTGATTGTATTCTTTGGTCTTAAGATGATGTGGATATCATTTGTTTTTAAGAATGTAGCTTAGTTTGTCAAATGCTACCCATGCCAGTCTAACTCGTCTTTTTATCTCTGCTGTTTGGTTTTCTTTGTTAAGTTTTATAGTTTGACCAGATATATATATAATCCTGAACTTCCTGAACTTGTTCTATTTCATCTTGTCCGATTTTCATTGTGGTGTCTTCATCTGTATTTGTTATGGTTTTGATCTTGTTGTAATTCATATTAAGGCCTATCTTTCCAGCTTCTACGTCCAGTTCTTTCATCATTTCAAATAATTCTTCTATTATATATATATATATATATATATATATATATATATATAATATAAAATTAATGTTTCTTGGGTTTAGGTTCAATAAAGATATGTTACATGTGGAACTAGATTTTATTTTCCATTGCAATCAATCAACGTTTCGGCAGGAAACCCTTGCCTTTGTCAAGATTCTAAAATGTGTATATATATAAGGACAAACAGATATTGCAATATATATATATATATATATATATATATATATATATATATATATATATATATATATATATATATATAGGGTCATTGTGGCAACAGTGGGTCACATTTTTTTTAAATCACATAGCTCTGAAATTATATGAGCTATAAAAGTTAAATTTTAATGATGAAAAGGTAGCTTCCTTGGCTACACATTGGTTAATTTTTTTTTTAAACACATTTGCTGGTTTTTGAAAAAAAAATTTATTTAAAAAAAAAGTTTTTGACTCACTGTGTCCTTAGATGGGTATACAGTGGGTCAACCGCGAGGGCACAGTGGATCAGGAGGATATTGGAGTAGAACAAGATAGGAAATTTCTAATATTTTTACTCTTTATTAAAAAAAATAAATGCTTATTACAAATTATAACCTCCTTAGCTTTTAAATGTAAATTAATTATGTCTTATAAATGTTAACAAAACATAAAATCAACTCAAATAGCGTTCCACATGTCAACTAGCGGATATCGATTTGAGAAAAATCAACATTAAAATAATAGTAAGACTGTTGACGTAAGGTACTTCCTCCCAGACAAGGTTTAGGCAATATAAGTTTTACATCGTTCTCGTTAACATATGATACATCAGGATTACTTGGCATGTGAAACTGATATTTGGGATTTGAACGAAGGAAGCTTACATAATATTCAAATTTATCATTACGCTCACGCAAAACTATTCCTACAAAATAAACACTTTTCCGTTTAGTTGCAAAACGAACAAGAACGTAATCTTCTTTCTTTGGAAAGCGAGGCAAGTCATTGAGCAATAACTTTTCATCGGTTAGTATTTCGATTTTATTTCCAACTTCGTCTTCCACTTCTTCGTCCCAGCAGTCGGAGTCTTCATCATGAATAGAAATAGTGTCATCAGTGTCATCTTCTGATTCACTCTGCAATACTTTCCTTACAGCTTTTTTCTTTGGTTCATTTGTTTTGTTTTTCTTTGGTAATTTTTTTTTCTTGACTTCCGATCGTTGCATTCTAATATTTTCCTTCTCCGGTGTATCCGTCGCGATTATGCTCCGGCCAGGTTTTCTTTTTCTTTTGTTTGCCCTTGGCTGAGCTTTGAGGGGCTGCCTGAATTGACTGGGGCTTATAAAAGCACCTGATGATACCGGTGCATTTTTCGACTTTGAGCAGTGGGGCTTTGGTGAATGTTGCAATTGTTCATGCTCTAGCTCCAAGGGCTCTTGTTGTGAATCACGCTCAGGCTCTAAGTGGGCTTGGAGAAAAGTTGGAGAGTCTATTAATGTGTCAGGGAGTGTTTCATTTTCCAAAACCAAAGTACTGTTCTGCTCATTTTCTATGGTATCTTGCAAAGAAACGTCAAGTCTATTTTGGATGGTATTGGGATTGGGACGATTAGTCACAGTACTGGGTAAAAAGTCTTCTTCGGTAAAAATGTCTCTATCGAAAGGATGGATTCCGGTCTTTTTAAAAGAATTTATAATATTTGTTGGAGTCATGGCCCTGGTGAATGCGATTCCTATCAGCTCAGCTAAATCGTAGATCGTCACAGGTTTCCCTGGATTTTTAAGCATCCAAGATTCCATAGCGGCGTTATAATAAGTTTTAAATGGAGAATAAATACCAACGTCTAAAGGCTGCAGCTTTGCTGACGTATGAGGGTGTAGTGTCAATATTGTTACACCGTTTTCTTTTGCTAAATCTAAAGCTTCAATGGATAAGTGTGACTCATGGTTGTCCATGATTAACAATGAAGGATTTTCTTTAGAGCTTGAGGTATGTTTAATAAAATGTTTCATTGTAGTAACAAATAGCTCGCTATTCATCCAACCAGAAGATGTAGCTAACCCTAATGATCCAGGGGGAGCACCTTTAAGCATGTGGTCCTTATAGTTTTTTCTGGGAAAAATCAGCACCGGAGGCAAAGCTTGACCACTTGCACTAATGAAGCAGCAAGTTGTTACAAGAGTGCCTTTCTCGCCGCTTGTCACTTTTCCAATATTCTTACCTTTAGGACCAATTACTTTTTGAGGTTTTTGTACCGTGGTTGTTGCCGTCTCATCCAGATTGTACACTCTAGTACCATCAGCAAATGAAGAACATCTTTTGTATACTTCTTGTAGATTATCGAAAAAGACTTTTACAGTATCCTTGTTGAACGCAGTTGCTCTAGCAAGACTGCAAGCTTCTGGTTTGCGTAAAGATAGTTCATTATGACGCTTGCGAAAAGATTTTAACCAATCAATACCTGCCATCTGATTTGAAATCCATGACTGTGGCATTTTTAATTTATTTATAACTGCCATTTCATATGCAACTTTTCTACAATCTTTTGTTGTTAAGCCGTAAAACATAAGAGCGCAATTATTGTAATATTCGGTAAGTGCTTGTTCTTGCTCATCCGTAAAAACTTTATTAATATCATAACGCGGCATAAGTTGCACATTTTCAATACTTGTTGATGCTTTAGCTTTAACTGCATAACGCTGTAGTGTTGAAAATGGAATATCCTTTTCCTTTGCTACAACACGTATCTTTTTTCCCGATGCAATTTCTAGAAGAGCATCTTTCATGTTTTCTTTGGTATGGGTACCTATTTTCCTGCATAACGGGCGTTTCTTTGGCATTCTGTAAAATAAAAATATAATTATAGTAACCAATTTAGTAGCAGTGGGCACAGTGGGTCGATCCACTGTACCCACTTTAGAGATGACCCACTGTATACCACTGTCGCCATTTTAATTTTAGGACGCAATAACAAATGTTTACCACTGTGTGATAATCCTTAATGTAACGTCAAATGAGGCCTTAATAACTACTTACTGCATTAAAATTATAACTCAGAGAATAGGATTAATAGATACGGAATAAGAAAAGATCAAAACTTACGTATTTTTTTTACTTTTTCACTACCAACTCACAAATTGTTCTCTGTTACTTACACTACACTTCAGAGCGGCGCACTGACCGTCGTGGAATGGCTGATAGCCGAGATCGAATCTACTATGTCATATGAGTATACTGTCATATATATATATATATATATATATATATATATATATATATTATATATATATATATATATATATATATACATATTTTACAATATCTGTTTGTCCTTATATATATACACATTTTAGAATCTTGACAAAGGCAAGGGTTTCCTGCCGAAACGTTGATTGATTGCAATGGAAAATAAAATTTAGTTCCACATGTAACATATCTTTATTGAACCTAAACCCAAGAAACATTAATTTTATATTAAATATAATACGGTTCAAGAAACTCAAAACTACAATATATATATATATATATATATATATATATATATATATATATATATATATATATATATAGAAATGGATATTAGACATGATTCCTATTAAAAAAAACTGGTATCAAAGACCTCTCCAGTACATACGTTTAGAACTTAGAACTAGATGGTAGTAACGGCGGACAACAATTTTGGAACATTAATCGTGACAGATAATGTTGTAATAATTTGTAAATAAATAGGTATTTTGAAAATAACCTTACCTGCGCATTGTGCTTTTCAACTAATATAAACATTTGCTGTTCCATCTTTTTAAATTTGGCTTGATACTTTTTATTATTTCTGTCTACAGTGTCAGCTAATATACTGAAAAAGAAAAAAAAATAGCTAATTATTCTATATTCTAAAAACTAATATTTGGATAAAATAATTAAAAATAATATTCGTAGGCAATTGAATACTATTTAGTAGATTTAGGTGATGATACGCATTAAATCAATACACATACTACACATATAATTATCTAGTTAACAGTATATAACAAGTAAAATATTGACTAGATATCAATTCTTGGTTAAATTGCGTATTTGTTTCTTCCTTTTCGGTCTCTCTGTTTCCGTTTTTAATAATACAAAATTTGCTTACAGCTTAAATAATTGTTTTCTCACAAAATAGCCTAAAGTAATTCTACTATCTTACAGGGATATTCCATCATTTTAGTGTGTTTAACTCCGTGAACTAACTTTTCATTGCCTATAAAGCAGGCATATACATAACGGTTCGGGTTCCGACAACAAAAGTACAAAACGAACAAATTATGTTTTAAATATTGATTTTTGAAATATTAGCCTTTAAGGTTTATACATTTTTTTATATGCTCAAACCAATTCTGAAAGCATTTTTCCACTCTGAAACTGATGTCGTAGAAACAAGTTTGGGTATTGGCAATCTCTGGCCATACATCTTTTGTTTGACAGATATGAACAAGACATGAACAAAAAGCCATTAGGAGATAAACCGGATTAATACGAACAATGGGATATTAATTCTATATTTTTCTAAATATTCAGTTGTTTGAAGTGCTGTATGGGGGTTAGCACTGTTATGATGAATAATGATGCGACTTATTTTGTTTTACCTTATTTTAGCGAAGACTATAAACTATATATTATTTAGCATTAATTCAATCTTTGATACGGCAATCAAGATAAGTATTATTTGCGATTCGATCAAATTATATGGAGCCCATCTGCAACGGTCATTTTTTATACCTAAATGTTCAAAGCACAACTGCTTGTATTGAAGTCTACGATATGTCAAGAGGTGCCTCTGCCTCTTTGTAAGTTACAAGCTGATCTCCTTTGATCGTGTTAAGCACCGCATCGATGTTTGTCGGAACAAAAACCGATTTCAGTCGACCCACACGACCCATTCATTGTTGTCCAGTAGGTAAGTCCTTTTTAAAATCATACAAAAATCATCCAGCGCAATCCTTAACGGAATTATTTCCATTTTCGCACACACTCCCGTTCTATGTCGTCACTGGCTTCGCGATAATAAATGTAAATAAATGTAAATGTTCACGAATAAAATGACGCCATAACTGTTACGCGATCTATAGATCGATTGTAAAATCTTAAAAGGCAAACCTTGAATATAAGATCTCCTGTTCCAAGATATTTCGTAAAGCCAAATTTTGTGGTTATTAATCCTTCATAGCAAATTTGGTACGGTCTGCAAAATGATTTTTGGAAAATCGTTAAACAAATAATCGATAAGGTTTATTGTTCTGCAGAAACTACACGTTATACCTCTCTATTTTTTAGCTATGACTGAAAACTCTAATCTTGCCAATTATTTATATGTTTTATTGTATATTCTACCGAATATCGTAATTAATTGTTTATTGAAATCTACATTAAAGAGATTCTGATCGTACAACACCAGGGCCACGAGTTGTTCTGTTTTTTAATCTGGGAAAAGTTTTCCGCGTTCTTGTTTTATATGAAGTTTATCCACTTTATACCCATGATTAATTCTACCTGATTTTTTTCTATTTTTTCGACTGATTTTTTCCTGTATTTTGTTGTTATTAATGTGTTCATTCGAGTTCTTGTTCTTTTGTACTCTTGATTTTTTTTTACTTGGTTGTGAATACTAATAATAATAGCCGTTTAGGTATTCCTGCACTATTTTTTTTTCTTCTTCCATCAAGATCTTATCGGTCACCTACTTACAGTTTTTTACGATCCCGATATTCGTTCTTGCTACTAAAATGTTGATTTTTCTTAGGTCCATCAATAAATTATTATCATAGTATATATTAGTCTACGAAAACGATCTGGAAATTTTGCAGCTGTTTCTTTATGTAATCTCTTCGATTCAGTGCTATTGTACCATATTTTCCGTCATTTCCGGACTTCCAGGTAATAACCTATGAGGAGAGCTCCTAAAATGAATTAATTGCAATCAAAAGTTTTTCCCTTGTAAATCTAAGGTGATAAGTAGTATACGTCAAGTCAGTTTTTGTTGGTTCTGGGAATTTTTCACCATCTGATCTGTCATTTGGCTTTTTCATACCTTCCTCCAAAGTACCAGTCAGTTCATGCTATAATTTTTGTTCCTCATACATTGAACATTAAACTCACATTATTCCTATGAATATAGGTCCAACCTCTGATTATATTATGAAAAATAAACAGTTTGAGTATACTTTTTGGTACACACAATTATTTGACTATATGTTACTACTTATCACCTTAGAAATATACTTTTGCTCATATTTTTCTCGTGGAAAAAAATTAGGTCCAATATAGTTATCTGATATTCCTCGTCCTATTTTGCACCGAAATCACGTATTTATTACCAGAACTTTTTATGGATATGCTAGATAATAGTGATTATTTGAGATTACATTTTTTTAGGTGTTATGGCTATATGTATTTGTACAATATTCATATTTACCGAAATGGCCTTATAGCTACAATTATTACTTACTTACTATTATTGTTATCTAAGTTTATAAATTAAAAGTGCTTGTCTAAAACTATGTACCTGTAATTCTTACCTATTTGTATGATTAAGATCTTGTACTATTTCTCTCCCTTCCAATAGCCTTGCTTCAGCATTCTTTGTTACCTGTTCTAATGTAGTAACCAACTCTTGTAACCTAACTTTCAGTCTTGCCTCTCTTGCTAATGCCTGCATTAATTCCAATTCAATGCCTTGAGCATGCTCAGCATCTGAATATCCTTGTTCCTAAAAGAGAAATATTTACTTTCCAATGTGATTTCAATATGATGAAACTTTTAGGTAATCTAGAATTTTCAGATAATTTAGGATTTAGTTCGAGTCTAATTAATAACAACTATTGTTCACACGTTTGGATGTGGTAATTTTGAGTATTTAATTGAAGAATTATTTTTTTAAGGAAATACTTAAACTTACAATTGAAGTATTTAAATTAACAAAGGGGTGAAAATAGGCATTCAGTAGTTTACACTCAACTTTTCTGACTTTATTATTACATTAGTAAAATTTTGTTTCCCGATATGTTATTGAAAGAAAATTTTTGAATAAAAATCTAGTTACAGTTGCCAAGCGTATCGAAAAACGTAAGATTCCTAATAAGAATCCAACACAATGATTGATTCCAAATAGATAAATTAAATTGAAGACCGTGAATTTGTATGTCATCAACAACAAAAGAAAAAATTATACACAATATAATTATAAGTAACTCTGCCTGGTGGTTATGAGGGCGAGGACTGGGTGGATTGAATAGTTCAGAAGACACGTTCATGCCCACAGCCGGTACCAAACACGTATAAAAGAGAACGGTTAGGGAACAGTCAAGCTGTTTGAATACATTTTCCAATACTAAGGTAAAAAGCTTTGGTGAAATAGTATCACCTTGTCTAATACCTTTATCAAGGCGCATTTTTTCAGTTTTTTCGTCTTCATTGATTTTGATGTGGAATGTGGCCTGTTCATAAATGTTTTTAATGAGTGTAGTGTACCGTGAGTCTATTCGAGCATCCTTCAGGGCTGACAAAAAGGACCAAGTCTCAATACTATCGAAAGCCTTGTGAAAGTCGATAAATGCCATATGTAAAGGTACATTATATTCTGTGGTTTTTTCTACTAGTGTTCTGATGGTTTGTAAGTGATCATTAGTACCAAACCCTTTTCTAAATCCCGCCTGTTCAACCGGTTGATATAAATCAAGTTTTTGTGTTATGCGGTTGGTTATTATTCTTGTTAACAATTTGTATAAGTGTGACAACAAACTGTAGTTTTCAATATTAGTAGTGTCTCCTTTCTTGTGTAAAAGTATTATTTCGGCGTTTTCCCATAGGCTGGGTATTCTTTTTTCTGTTAAGACACTTATTCAGTAAGACTTCCAAAACTTCTACAACGATGTTGCCGCCCATTTTTAACATTTCAGACATTATACGATCCTCGACAGGAGCTTTTTTGTTTTTCATTTGCTGTAAGGCATGTCTAATTTCCGAAGAGGTTATTTTAGGGAGGGTTTCCGAGCCGACGTTTAGAATTGTTCTGTGGTCTGTTTCGGGGTTCTGTATAGTAGATGTATAAAGATTCTTATAGAATGTTTGTATTTCCTTGATTTTAGTTATCTTTGATTTTCCTTTAGTTAAATTTGATTTCAATACTCTCATGTTTCTATTGTTTTCGATGTTTTGTTTCATAAGCCCGCAAGTCTGACCTTGTGCTCTTTTTAACTTTATTGTTGATAGCTTTATACTCTGGTAATTCTTTCGATGTTCTTCTTCTTTCTTCCATTAAATTAAGTGTTGTTTGTTTCAGTTTCGTTTTTCTGGGATTTTTATTTTTATCACAGATCTTTTTTGCAGTTGATGTTATGTCGTTCGTTAATTTTTGTGTTATTTCATTTATATCTTTCGTGTTGAATACTGGTAGAGGTCCTAGTTTCTTTTTTAGTTCACTTTGATATTCCTCTTGATTCATTTCAAGTGCTTCTATGTTTGGCAATTTATCCTATGTTAATAATTTTCTTCTATCTAATTTCATATTTATTTCTATTTGCGTCCTAACTAATCGATCATCACTACCAGTGTTGAAAGAATTTAGTACAGTAAGATCTTTAGCAATGTTTTTGAAGTTAGAGAGTATAAAGTCAATTTCATTTTTTACTTTGCCATCTGGGCTTAACCACGTCCATTTTCTCTGCATCTTTTTCTTGTAGAAGGTATTTAAGCAGAATAGTTTTTCTTTGCTGAGGAAATTTACGAGCATATCCCTCCTGTGATTTCTACTTCCCAGTCCAAAATTTCTAATATATTCGTTGTCGTTGTTATTTTCGTTCTTTCCTATTTTAGCGTTGAAATCTCCCGTAATTATTACGTAATATGTTTTCTCTAGGTTTCTGGCTCTTGTAATGTCTTCATAAAGTTGTTCTACCTCTTCATCATCTGAGTCATCTTCATCATAAATGAAATAGTTCCAGGAGTAAAACAAAGATTTAATGAAGACCATGTCAACGCAAATGGAGAACTTATGGCTAATCTCTGTGGATTTAATGAACAGAGATTCAATAATACATTTTTTGACCATAAGCTCCAGTACAAATATATATTTGAAAACTCCAAGGGGCACAAATCTATGATATATTTTATAGTCACTAATAGAAAAATCCACCCAAAGCAGATTCTAGATATCCGAACTATAAACTCAGCCGACACAGGGAGTGAACAAAAATAGTACTAGCAAAAATATGAATGAAAATATCACAAAAAAATTTTCTATAGAAAATCACCAAGGAAAAATTCAATATAGAATCAATGTGGAACGACTTTACAAGAGAAAGGTACCAAAGGAGGCTAGCACAGAAGATACAGCTGAAACAAATAGACGACATCGAAGATATAAACAGGAGATGGGAGAAAATTAAAAACAACATTGAAGAAGCAGCAACAGAAGCTCTAGAAAAACGCAAAGTCATACTGAACAAAAGAAACAACCACACTACACCAAGGTTCAGAAAAGAAATAAAAGAGAAATGTAAAGAGAAACGGAAGGCCTACACGAAGTACAAAACATCAAATACTCCAGAATCCGGAGACACCTATAGAAGAATACGAAATGAAACAAAGTATTTGGTAAGAAGAACAAAAACGAACACTGGGAACAGTTTACAAAAAGGATGGAAAGCGACTTCTACGGTACACAAAAACAAATATGGGGATTCATAAGAAACCAACGGAAAGAAATGGCTGAATTAAAGGAATACAATAACATACCAGCAAACGAATGGAAAAGATACCTGACGGAACTGTTTAAAGGAAAGGAAAATAATAATCAACACAATAACGTACTTGAATTAAGACACGAAATAAAAATCAGTTTTCAGGAGGTAGCCATAAATTGACTCAAACATAGAAAGTCACTAGGATCAGACGAAATAACTAACGAACTTTTAAAACACGGAGTAGAAAGTATAACCCTAGAGATGACAAAACTTATACAAAAACTAATATTGGACTGCAAGATACCAGACGCATGGAGAAACAGAATAATGATACCAATGTTCAAGAAAGGAGATAAAGAAGACCCCAACAATTATAGAGGTATAAATCTACTAAACACCGCACTTAAGCTTACCACAAAAATCCTAACCAACAAAATCAATAAACTAACAACATTATCAGATGAACAACAAAGATTCAGATCCGGAAGATCCTACGTAGACGCCGTATTTGTACCAAGACAAATCACAGAAACGGCCATCGAGTACAATAAACCAGCATATCTATGTTTTAAAGACCAGACAAAGGCTTTCGATCGCATCTAAGTCGAAGACGTCTTACACCTACTATATAAAAGAAACATACCAATCAATATTATACAAACGATCAAAAACATCTACTTCCATAATCGAATAAAGGCAAAGATAAATGGAAAACTAACATAGTGTATACCAGTACAAAGCGGAGTCAGACAGGGTGGCTCGTTATGCCCACTTCTCTTTAATATAATAATGAACGAAATAATACAAGCAGTACTTTAAAGTCATGGTTACAGAATGGGGAACAAAGAAATCCAAATATTATGTTATGCAGACGACGCCGCATTAATCGCCGAGACAGAAGACGAGCTCCAAAGATTAACACACATCTTCAATACAACACCAAGAAATACAATATGATAATATCAGCAGAAAAAACGAAATGTATGAGAACATCTAAATACCCACTACGATGTAAAATCGAAATTGATGGGAAAATAATAAAGCAGAAATCAAGATTTAGATATCTGGGAATAGATATAACTAGTTACGAGGATGTTGAATATTCAAATTAAATATACCTATACAGCATAAAAAAAAAATAGCTCATAAAAAGTATATTAATTTTTGGACGGGTGGTTAGTAACTACTGGATACATTTGTAATGTTAGTCATTACGAGTTAAAGCACGTTCAACGTCGAGATCAGAATCACCCACTACGAATAGTGGAGAAAATCATAGAGGAAAGTCAAGCAAAAGATGTAAATAGTAAGACTAGAGATTTCAATAAAAGGATATAACATATAATACTGTGTAAAAACACGATATAAAATTGTTGATAACGTAATAACTATAGATTAAATATAAAAGTTTTTTAAAACCAAATATAGACAATCTCAAAACAAATTATGATTTTGTGGCGTCTTAACTTTTTCACATATTCCCCAATAACTTCAGATTTGCCTTCACAGCGAATGTTGTTACCTACTTCCGGTCATATTGATTTTATATAATAAAAGCATTATATTACCTTATGCTGAGTAGCTATAGCTAACAATGCTTCTGTGTCTTTTAGTTGGCCCTGAAGGTTTTTCAAAGTTGCTGACTGAGCTTTCTGCTGCCCTTCGGAATATTTAAGTTTCAGTTCTATGGCACACTTCTCTTTCTCTAAAGCGAAGAGCTTGGATATAAGTTCAGACTTGTCTTCTCGTAGACCCATCAGTTCCTACAATAAAAGGGAAAAAAATACAAATATTCAAATCTAAATTTTATTTATTTTTTCTTATTTTATTTATAAAGTTGTCTTGGGTAAAAAATACAATAAAATGAGACATACAATTTTTTATATTGCACAAATCGTCAACTACAACATACACAATACAGCATAATTATAACATTTTTTAATAATAATTGGTTATATTCTACAGTCCGTCACCCTAAGGAACCGAAGCTTAGACAAGGAAAGAGAGAGGACAGGTAACGCTCATTTAATAAACCTTCGCAAAGTGAAGTTAGTTGCGATGTGACGGTCATGTTTTGGTGCCTAAATACTAGATACTGGTACTAAATGGTACTAAAAATATATAATAATAAAATCATGTTCAAAAAGTGATCATTATATCAGCATTTAATTATAAATTTTGAATATTATAATATATATATATATATATATATATATATATATATATATCGGAAAAAGGAGTACGACCGTCAATCCAATATATATATATATATATATATATATAATATATATTATATATATATATATATATATATATATATATATATATATATATATATCGGAAAAAGGAGTACGACCGTTAATCCAATATATATATATATATATATATTAATATATATATATATATATATATATATATATATATATATATATATATATATATAGCCTTTAGGTGCCGTTCTGGTGCCGGTTTGGCTTTAGTCAATTCTATACGATTTCGCGTCCCCTCTCTTTCCTTGTCTAAGAATCGAAGAAAAAAATAGCAATCTGTAACTTCGTGGATTAATTAAGAATGTCGTGATGGACAAATTTTTAAGGCCGGAAAATATTGAACGGAGTCTTTCCTAGGACGTTGTGAAAATCGCCAATTTGACAACGATTACACATACTATCCACAGCAATAAAGAAAAAACGTGGGGAAAATATTGACGGACAAAAATGGTGTCATTAAGAGGATTGAATATTCATAATTCCCGGCTGTTCCGGCTGTTAATTAAATTTTTAACCGTCATCTACTTTTCTCAAAAATGATCCATAAAAGGCATTAAAACCTGGTTGTCTTCCTAACGGTCATACCACAGGGACCTTTTGGCAATCGATTACTGCAAAGTTGTAAATATTTACCGTCATATATCCACTGTATTTCTCAGATCTGGATCTCAAAGGAATGACACAGTGGGGAATGGTTTGAATGAGGAGGTCATTTCAGAAACAGACATTTTCTAAGGCGAAATGCAAAAAGTTCTACAAAAAAAGGATATAATTGTCAGAGAAATGTGTATTAAGAGAGACAGAAAGACAATATGTTGATGAATAGAGTCGGATTTGAAAAAAGTAGTTGTTTTATTAGATCTAGGACTTACTGAGTAAAGGATAACAATAAGAAAACTCTGAGATTGAATTAAACTTTTCAAGAAATGACTGGGTAGTTCTGGCGGTGAACTAGTTTTTCAGTCAAATATATTTTTTTGAAATAATAATAGTTAAGAACATGGAATGACAAGAACTGTTGATAGACTCATAGACAGCTACATATAGATCCATTTTCTCTAGCCTTACTCAAAAATATAGTTGTCAATATTATACCTGCATTAAGACAGCCATTTCAAGGTCCATTTTTCTGGCTTCTTGAGTGCTGGAAGGTCGTACAGGTACATATTCGAGTTGAGTTGATTCCAAAACTACATAAGTTCCTTGAATATTGCTTCTGTCTGCTTTTAGTCTTGAAACGTGTTCTCTTAATCTCATTTCGTGATCGTTATTCCAAGGTTCATCACTAAAAAATAATTTAAACTATAAATACAAAAACTTAATCTAAAATTCATTAAAATATTTTAAAAAATATGAACCTATCTAGTTTATAATTTATTTAGGAAAATAAAATTTCCAAAAACAGGTTTTTTACGCCACATCTGAAGAAATATTCTAAATTTAAAAATTTATTTTTTATTATTACAATATTTGCAATAGTGTGGAATTGCAATAGTGTGCCTAAAATGGAAACAATTTTTATTTGTTCTTCTGGCCACCCTATAAAAATCTGTCCTTTCACTTCACTCCACCAAGAGGCTCGGTGCACTTGATAAAGGCCAACTACTTTCTCAAAGGCAGTATCAATTTCCCATTTCCTGTATCGTGGTTAATTCACTATACCTAAAGGTATTTCATCAGTTGGCAGTATTCAGTCATTGTCTACATGAACGTCTTTAGCTTTAGAAGATGAGATAGACTATCAGAAAGCTAGTTACTGTTGAGGCTATTCCAGTCACTTTTAATTTGATTTCTAACCTTAGATAAACAGTTGTTTATCAGCTTTGATTTGATAAGTGATTTCTTTATTCTTTACGATATTGAACGAGCTGGAAAAATTACAATGTTTCTGTGCTATAAAAACACTACTTCTTTTACAAAATCGGAAATTCAATTTTGTTGTGTTTTGTGCTATAGCAATCATGTAATGGGTACCAAGCCACGATTCCTATAGAGCAAGATAGAACGAAATGAAACTAATACCACCGAGAAAATCCAGTGTATTCAGTAAACAGACTGCAGCCTGACCTATGTCAGAATAATTCTACTCTAAGCAGTCTCGAGGCATGAAGTTTGGCTGTAGATTCCCATGGGAAAAAGTTGAAAGTAGTCCACTAGTTACAGAATCATCCAAGGATCCCATTGAAGTAAACGAATTTTAAATGAACTGATAAGAAGACGACTAGACTACACCTCCTAAAATATATCATCAATACAAGATTAGCCTAGTGTTTTCATCACAAAATGGAAGGATTCTGCAGTATCTCAGTTCCGCGGGAAAGAAAAGAGGGTAAGATGATAAAAGAAAAGTGTAGAGAGTATTCAAAATTCTCCACTGGTCGATGAAATAACGCATTATTTAATCGCGTCACTGAGAGACCAGACGTAAACACAACTGCATCCTACGGGAGTCGTTAGATATTGATGTGGTGATGATAGGGCTCTTAATACTCGGTCTTGGTTGCTAATCCTATGAGATCAGTGGAAAATAATAACGACTCAACTCCGGGTATCAAGCCCAGTTTCATTAGACTTCTCTAGATGTGTTAAATATACCTGTAGTATCCATCCAAATAGAAAAAGCAATCGGAAATATGCAACGAGATCCTGTTACAGACCATACAGTCGAGCATGAGCGTTGTAGTGAGGAAAAGGCTTGAAGTATGAGCTGAAGCAAGACTTCTATCCATAAAAGATAAGTATACATAAAAGATCTTACAAGTTGTAGTGTGGAAAGGGCTGCAAAAATAATCGACCCTTTGTCCAAGTTGATCAATATCCAGGTTAGAGAATTTTATGGCGGTATTTTTAATATAAATTTTCGTTAATTCTACTGTATCATATAGTTGTAACTTTCATATATTCACAAATTTATAACCCCTATGGAGGTTATTCAGAGTAGTGAGGCTTAGACAAAATTGTTGAGAATATTTCATTACACTATTTCAATTATAAAGCAACTAAAGGTTAAAAGAAGATTGTTAATAAAAATAATAGCCCTATGCTTCCGATACATATCAAGAAGAACAGTAGAGCTAGAAAATGATCGTCGAGAGTAAAATTAATGGCAAAACATGCGAATAAGAGGTATCCTACACGCTAGTTGGATTAAGTCAGACGAATTATTGACAATTATCTGCACCCAGCAACCCAAGACAGAGTAGATACAGGACCACAATCCGAGACATAATGTCACTCTTTCATCAAAGACAAAAGAAGAATAATTCTGGTTATTTAACAATGCCTGGACATTTAACAGCATCTGATGAAACATGAAACATCAGGCAGATGATAACAGATGAAACATCAAGCCGAAAAAAATCTAGACTACGTCCTATAACCTTCGAATAACACCGGTCGCAAAAAACCCCAACACTCATTGATAAAACTTTTCCGCTTTATCATAACTGCCCATCAATCGATTTGATACTTCTGGGACGAGGTATATAAAGTTATCTGTCATTATATTCATTTACTACCACAGTTAAAATCTAAAATACTGTAAGACTACTTTTATATAAAGTTGATTAATAAACTAATTATTACAAAGAAAAAAATATATTAGTTTTATACATAATACATACCTATCAATCGTAGGACTGTTATAGACATGGTTTTGCCACGGAGATAACAATATATCCGTACTTTGATAAGAATCTAAATGATGCAAAAGTTGTTTGGCCACGGTTTCTGCAGCGCTTCTATTCTGCAATGTTTCGGAATCATCTTCTTTCAGGCTAAGTTCTGTCTCAAGTAAAGCTAGAAGAACGTCGTAAGCTTCTATAATGCGATCACTTAGACCCAAAGCAAGTTGTAATGCGATAGCGTTTGATTCATATTTACCACATAATAAGGCCAATCTAAAAGTAATATGTATACATAAATATTAAGAATTTTATTTATTAGTCTGTAAATAATATAATGTATATAGATTTTAACAAAACAAAATAATCACTTTATTAGGTATTATTTGCAAGGTTTTAGGGAATCAGCTACCCGATTCTTTCGTTGCCACTTATGAGGAGACTTCATATAGGATATACTTATCTTTAGATAACCAAACTTGCCAAATATGCAAAAATACCAAGAATCCAGCAAAGATCTCTGTATCAGGCGACACAATTACAATACCTCACAATACAGAAGCGGTTGAGAGAAATATTGAAAATAGTAACAATAGTAAAATTCTTCGACATATTGATCCCAACTGTCATATCAAGGCAGGCAGTGACACCTCTACGGACACATATGTAATATAATAATAATATTCACCAGTTTAATTTAATGGAATTTAAATGGGTATCAGACCCATTCAGAAATGTTGCAAATACTAATCTCAAAATACAGACCAATGATTTTATGTTTACAAGAAACTAATTTTAAAAACAACACTGCACATAAACTAAAAAACTTAAATTGTTTCTTTAAAAATTGACAACATGCTAAAATAGGCAGCGGAGGAGTAGCGATACCCTGTATTTTAACTCTAGTAATTTCATATATTGATTTTACTAATTGTATTAGTTGATTCGGAGTTGTTTTAAAGATTTATCAAGTATTTTCTATCTATTGTGTCAAATGAATGCTTGCTCGTCTTCTAGGTTTTTTCAATTTTTTTATTCTCTATTAATTTAGTATAGGCATACCTACTTTAAATGCCACGTGCGCTAGACATATCGCTCTATAGCTTTTCCAGTTAGTTCTGTCCTCTTTCTTATAAATTGAAAGAATAAGATTATTTTCCCAATCTTATTTATGCTGATATTTTTTTTGCTTCAATGCTTCATTACATATGATGCAGAACTAGTAAATGGCTTCCTCGGCCATCCATTTCATTATTTCTGGTTCTGTTCCATATTCTCCTATAGATTTTCTGTTTTTTATTAATTTTGTTGATTCTGTAACTTCTTCTTTCTCTATTCTCCACGTCTTCTTTTCCTTTTCCCTTGAACTTGATGTGTCATTTGAGTTCAGGCTTGTGGTTGCGTCATGGACGTATAAACATAGATGGACACAGCAATAAGATACCTTTAACACACAATGTTTTGAAGCTTCGATAGAATGTGATGCTTCCGCAATGAGCATAAGCGTGCTTGAATTTTTACTCGCGGGTAATTATTCAGATTTTAAAAATTGGAAGTAGTAATAATGTATAAAAACACGTTCAAAGAATTAAACAAAAAAACGAGAGTTTAACTATTAACAAATCACGTCTTTATAGAAAAATTAAAATACAATTTTATTTGCTTCAAAATTAATACAATAAAATATAGTTGAATTCAAGTTAATTTTTAATAGGTATCAAAATAATGCTACAATAAAAAATCTTTATGTTTTCTCCTAAATTTGCTACCAAAATAGTTCGATCGTCAATATTATTTGGAAACCTACATAGAAAAATAAATGAGTTTTATTCATTTCACTAATTTATTTGCATCCATGAGAAATATTAAATTAAAAAGGTACTAAATAGATCTTTTTTAATCAGATGATGTCTACTTACAATTTAAAAATGTCTACTAATTTCATGAACTTGTATCTTATTCAATACATTAATGAACATGAATAAACCCAATGGTACGCCTATTAAAATGTAAACAAACACGCTTCCTCATTTCCTCATCTTAAATAATGTAAATTGTATGTACTTACAAATGAAATGAGAGATCGGGATGTAAATATTTCGTTTATTTTATTTCACTTTTCACAAATATCACTCAAAATACAGCCAAAATATCGAAAAACAACTTTTACTAGAAAGTAAACAAACATGGAACAGCATTTGAAGTTTGACGTAGATCCATAAGACAGAGAAATGTAAACAACCGTTGCCATTTATAAATAGTTTTTCAGCGCTTCTACATATAAAATAATTGATTGATATTTATTATACGCTATTATTAAATGATAATGCACACTATGTGCACACTTTATATTTTGATTACAATTAAATATATTAATCTAACCAATAAATTATTATTTTGGTTTGATACCACCTTTAGAGTATAAAATACGGAGTAATATTTTCAGCGACTCGCGAATAAAAATTTTAAAACAAAACGTGACAACAGTTGAAGGTGCTGAGAATGTGACCTATTCAAATAATTTTGACTTCACAAATTTATATGTAAAATAACTGAGTCCATCTGTGTTTATACGTCCATGGGTTGCGTCTTCTAATTTAACTTTGCATATGTAATACTCTTTTCAAATTTTTACTATTTCATATGGTTTATATTGTATCTTGTTATTGCCATCTTTTATGCCGTATATTTTTGTTTTTTCCCTGTTAATGCCTTGATCTAATTAAAAAAGGGATGTACTGTCTGTCATTTTTATAACCACCTAACCTAACCTAACCTAACCACTTAAGCTGTTCCCAAATTCTTCCCACGATTTTTGTTTCGTATCTCTTACTGCCTTCTTGATAATTTTATTTTTATTGCTATATAGTTGTTTGTCTCTTAGATTATTTGTTTGCACGTATATTTTCAATGTTTTGTATATTATTTCCTTTAGTTTTTTCTGTTTTTCATCTAGTGAGACCTCTTTTTTACTCTTTTCGTATTTTTGTAGTGTCTTGTTTATTTTATTTTGGTAAATGTACCTTATTTTCTTTATATTTAGTTTCCTTATGTTTATCTTGGAATACTGTATATTCTCTTATTCGATACCTGATCGTGTTTTTATTATTTCCGCTATTACTAGTCTATTTTGTCTAGTGTACTTCCTATTTTCATATTATTAGCAATACCGAATTGGATCATTATATCTCTGTATCTATTTCTTTCCAATTCTCCGTATTCTCCTATGCATCCTTGTCCTTTATTTATATCATTTCCTATCCTAGCGTTCCAGTCTTCTTTTAGTATTTTTTAATTATTTTTCTATTTCTACGGCTCTAGTGTGTTTTGTAATTTAGTATAGAACTCGTCCATTTTGATAAGGTCTAATCCCTCAACTGAGAATATGTATGAGCTCCACCTATACAGGTCTGTTCCTTGAGTTTAGCTGGTTTCCGGTTCTGTATATTTCTATTATATCTTCATCTCTATTTATTTGAGGTTTATGGTATAAGTTATGTCGGTAAATTTTTCTGTAGAAGTTCGGTAGTTTCGGTCTTATGTTCTTCTATTTCATGAATTATAATATTTCTTTTCCTTATTTACTTTTTCAATATTTTCTCCTGTGATTTTACTTTTTCTTTAATTTGACGACTTTCTCTCTTAATTCTTATAGATTAAATAATAAAAAAAACTCCATATACTATAACTCTATATAAAATCAAAACTGCATCTAAAATCTAAATGCATGACTATCACTGCCTATGAAACTAAGTTAAAATATTGCGATGTAAGACAAAATTAGCTAAAAATATCAGAGCAAAGCAAATAATATAATAAAAGAAACATTGGCACATTAGCAGAATGAACTACAAACGTGTAGAGATATTGTACAATGCATAACCATCGGAATATATAAAGGGTGTTTTTTAGAGGCATAGAACTTTGAAATAGAATAACACAAAGATGACTTTTATAAATTAACACAAAATTAACTTCGAAAGATAATCTTTTGGCATTATAATTTAAATATGATTTCTGGCATATGACCCTCATGGCTGGCTCTGACGTAGTCTTATGTGGAAGTCCAATTTTCGATCACTTTTTCCAATATTTGTCGCCGTATATCGGCAATAATGTTGTTCAATTGGGGAATGAAAAAGGCAGTAATCATGGCTCTATAGCGGTCAACATTGACTGTAACGTTCTGGCCAGCATCATTTTTGAAGAAGTACGGTCCAATGATTCCACCATACCATAAAGCACACCAAATAGTTTTTCTGGATATAATGGTTCCTCAACATATATTTGAGGATTATCTTCACTCCAAATAGGGCAGTTTTGTTTGTTGACGTAGTCATTCAACCAAAAGTGAGCTTCATCGCTAAACAAAATTCGCTTATGAAAATCGGAATCAACGGCAATCTCGTTTTGGACGCACTCACCGAATCTACAAATCTACGCCTTGCTAGGTGATAATTTACCTTTAATTATTGCATGAGTTGGATTTTGTAAGCACGCAAAGCAAGATATTTTGACAAAATCTTCCATAAAGTGACTGGACACGTATCCAACTGCTGTGCACGATGGCAGATAGACTAATTCGGGTCTTCCTGTATGCTACGCCCTACAGCAGCAACAACTTCTTCTGTACGCACTGTACGACGTGTCTGTAAATGCATATTATCAGTTAGACTAAACGTGGTGGAAAAACGTTCCATAATTAACCGAATTAATTGCTCTGATGGACTATTATGTTGACCATAAAATGGATGTTGTGCGCAATAACTATTTCGAACAGAACCACCAATTTTCAAAATAAATTTGTACAATTTGGAAGGCGTTAAGTCTATTTATACCAAAATGTCAAACCCACCTTAACATAAATCACTTGACAGCTGTCAAAATGACCGACAGTTAAAAAAGTGTTACCAACTTACATTTCTATATCTCTAAACAAACTCTTTATATTAGCGGAATATATATCATACGAATTATCAAAGGTGTGAAACGTAAAATATCTTAAAAGCTAATACAGGTAAGACAATAAACTGAAATAGAAGACATTAATATGTGCCAAAAATAATAAATGAAAATCCGAAGTACAAGAAAAACTACAGAAACATTGTTACACATTGCTAATATGATCAAAAAAAATGTGTTTATTGGATGAAATGTAACTCGAACCAATATCCTCATAACATTTGTGGCCCTAATATCAGAAAAGATATTTAGACTATATCAAATTTCTGAATAAGATAAAATATATCACACCTTCCATTTTCTTTCAGAATAATTATATTAGGAAATTATACTTTACCTATCACAATGCGCTTTAGTCTCAGACAAAGTCATTGCTAATACCGAGTTTTGTGATCTTGCATTTTCTAATTTAGCACTAACTTTTCTAATTTCAATATCTAATCCTTGCTTCTCGGCTTGAATATCGCATTGCTTCAATATATCACCAACGATGTGTTCCGCAACCGCTAAAAAATAAAAGAGATTAGTTTATTACTAAACTAGAAAAACAGCACAATTTCGCTAAAACAAAAAATCTAGAAAGATTTTATCAGAAGAAAGACCAAGATATTTAAATGGGTAATTGGGTATTGAGTAATTGTAGTAATTGTGAGAATTGTAAATTTTTCGCATGTATTAAAAATACTATTTTCGTGTAAGCTAGTTTTGAATGTTTTCTATTTTTGTATAATTATCACATTCGCTTTGTAAATACTCTAAGTATTTCAACTTGTCTTATTTCTGTTGGACTAAGTATTTGGCTGCAAAATATGACGGAACAAGGGTCCACATACTCGCAATCAAATTGAGCAATGGACGTTGTTGTACAAAGAACTAAAACACGGTATAGTGTTTTGCTTGACGTGCTATATAATTTAGGTATTCCTTCTCACCTTGACTTTGCAGTAAAAGCTCTTATGACCAAGAACGTTACCAAATTTCATCAGAAACTGGTTTGAAGAAAATATGCGTATTTCTAGTATAGTAAATATAGTAAATACAAATAGCTTTATTATTATGGAAGTTTTGTGGAATTATTTTATCTATATTTTATCGCTTTAAAATAAAAATAATTCTGTATACATTTATAATATGTATAATAAGTTAAGAACATAAGAATGTTAAATCCTAATAAATAAGTATACACATATAATTATTAAAGGTCAATTTTCGCTTAGCAGACAAGATAACCTTGTAAGTTATCTTCGCCAAGGTAAGGGAGGGAGGGGTGAATTTTACGCAGCGGGTAATTATACGCAGGTCAATTCAAATATTCCGGTCATGTGCGCACGTCCAAATATCTAACAAGCAAATCAGTTGGCGGTCAGAGATATTGCTACACGAGCTTACGAATTTCAAAGACTTACATACACACATAAGGAATAGCCGTGCAAAGTGTAACAAGGTAAGTTATTTAAAGTAAGTAGGTCTTTCTCGTACTATTATTTTTATGTTATCAAATGAAAACGTGATTCTTACTGGGAATTTGTTTGTTAATTTTAAGCTGATTAAAACAGTATGTATTTCTACTATTTTTAAAATATTTAAGTATTTACTGTCGTACGGGGTCATATTCATAGAAACTTATTTATGCTTTGTTGACTATTCCAAATTCATTACTTGTTCCAAAGAACAATTAATGAAATTCAATTACCTAGGAGTAGAGATCACTAGTGAGAGGGATATAAGAACAGAGACCACAAGGCAAGCATCAAAAGCGGCAAGAGTAATTGGATGCCTCCGAGAAACCATATGGAGAAACAAATATCTGACCACAGAAAGCAAAATGAAAGTATGTATACAAGACAACAGTAAGACCAATCCTAACATATGCAGCGGGGACAAGGACCGATACAAGAAAGACGAAACAACAAATCAACAATATCGAAATGAAAGTATTAAGATCAATAGCGGGCATATCATTAAGAGACAGACAAACCAACAGAAGTATACGCGAACAATGCAAAATTATAAATATTAACAGGTGGATAAAACAAGAAAAAAAAACTGGAACGCACATGTAAACCGAATGGGACCAGATAGATTAGCGAACATCTGTAAAAACAACAAACCGTATAGCAGAAGACCCGTTGGAAGGCCACCAAAAAGGTGGAAAGATAATGTACAGTCAACAACGACTGAAACAGAATAAGAGGCAGACAAACAGGAGTAATCCTAGTCGTACGAAGAAGAAGACTATTCCAAGGCCTTCGTTGTCGTAAAATGGGATAAAATGTGGCATATACTTAGAGAAATGAATATACCAGAACATCTAATCTATTTATTACAAAAACTATATGTAAATAATACTGCTAATGTAAGTTAATAATGTGGTTTCGAAAAACTTCAAATTAAAATCTGGAATTCGAAAGGAATGCATAATATCCCCTATTCTATTCAATATATATATATATATATATATATATATATATATATATATATATATATATATAAAGCATCGAGAAAAGAAGTACGACCGTCAATCCAATATAAAATAAGGATCACTCACAGAGTGGTGGGTTTTTCGGTCAAAAGGTGGAGAAAAAAGACAAAGAAGGTCAGTTCCAAACGCTATGAAACCTTGGACTGTGGAAGTTGAATCAATCTTCACCTGTTGAGGGACGAGGAGAAGGCAGATTGAGACCTCAGTGCCGAGAGACAGTTCTTGTATTTATAATACAGAACACGATACTGGTACGTTTCGAGTGAGGGAGTAGGCAGATTGAGACCCGGAACTCGAACCGAACCGTATACCTCTTGATAATGGCTCCAAAATGGGAGCCGAAACGTCGAGCATTAAATTCTCAACGCGGTTCTTCCCGAGAACCTAGTGATTTTCATTCATCTGACGATATATAGTGAATATACTAGCGTCAAGTTTTTGAGGAATGGCAACGTGGAGCAACGATAGGAGGAAGAAAAATCAAAATCCTACGTTAAGCTGATGACACGTATATTGGCGTCATAACCAGAAGAACTGGAACAAATTATGAATAGACTAGGCACGGTGAGTACGAAATATGGTTTGAAAATAAATATGCAGAGATCCAAAGTGATGATCATTAATAGAATCAGAAAACAACCAGGCAGAGATAAGAATCATGGCAGGTTACGAAGTGGTCAGGCAATTTAATTACTTAGGCTCCTGATGCGAAGATGAGATCTGTCGACGCATCGCAATGGCCAGATCTGCAACAGCCAAACTCACAAAAATTTGGAAGAACACTGACATCACAAAAAACACAAAATTACGCCTTGTTCGAGCATTGATATTTCCTATCGCCACCTATGCTTCAGAAACTTGGACAATAAGAAAAGCCGATTCAAAGCGTATAATGGATTTGAAATGTGAGTCTACCGTAGAATGTTGCGCATACCATGGAACGCCCATCTCACAAATAACTCATTTCTAGCAGAACTTAACATAAATACTAGACTTATCACAACTATTAACTAAAATATACTGAGATATTTTGGACATGTAACTACAAGAAGAGAAAGCATGGAGCGAATGATACTTGAAGGTAACTTAGCGGGTAATAGATCCAGAGGAAGATATCCAGTACGATGATCGGACCAAATAATGGAGATGACTGGTTACTTATTCTCCGAAGCAAAACAACACGCACAGGACAGAAATAGTCAAACAAATTACATGACGCCATTACATCCTTACGAAGGAGAAAATATTAAGAAGGATGAGTAATATTGCGCACAAAATGAGGGTAATTTTACGCTGCGTAAAATTATCCTGTGGTCTATCATCGTTACAAAATAAGGATGAATCAGATATCAATGTCTAAACTCGGTCGAAAGCCCATCTTTAATATGTTTTATGGTATCACTATTAGAGAACTGAGGCAATTGTTGTGTAAAAATGAAGATACAAACGAAATCAGGCACAATTTTTTTAAAGAGACTGGACTTGCTGAAAAAGACTGGTTAACTTTTTTCTTAAAAAAAAACCAATAAGTCTGAGAAAACCAGAAGGAACAAGTATTAATCGAATAATCGCCTTTAATAAAATCGAGTCAAGTAAAACGTTGACGAGACTGGTATAACGACGGTACAAAGACCTTCAAGAATTTTGGACCCAAAGGGACAGAAACAAGGTAGACTCTGCAATCTTTTTGAAAAGAGGTATGACCGTTACAATAGTGTGTGCGATGAGTGCGTCTGGAGGATACATTCCACTGATGCTCATCTTGCCCAGAAGGATCAATGCTCAACTTCAAAATAATGTCCGATAGGTGCAGCATATTACTGCTCGGACAATGGCTGACTAAATAACGAGTTGTTGTTGTTGTTGTTGTTATTTTACGAGTGGTTGAAGCACTTTAAATATCATGTCCATTCTGATTCACAGTCACGTGTTTTTTAATACTTGACAATTACACTAGTAATATTTCACTGAAGATATATTAATTTTGTACAGCTAATACAATTTACCTCATATCCATACCTCCAACCTTTCATTTTTGAATGAAAGAATGTGAATAATATCTCAGAGCACATCCACATCAGGGAATAAATAACTTTCATTAGCTTAACAAACCTATCTAAAAGTTACTACAATGAAGAAAGGTATTGCTGGCTTTAGATCTGCTGGTATTTATCTTTCGACAAAGATAAATTTAAAGATGAAGATTTTTTTGCTTGCTCAACAGTTTTTACCAGTCGTATAAAATAAAGTAGAAGAACATAGAACATCTCATACCGAGCAACAGGAAGATCAGGTTATCAATGAAAATGGTAACATTACTCCAGAGGCAGACCCAAAAGTAAATCTAAAATAGATCCAAATATTATTGAAGCATCAAAAGCCAATGTTTATTTTTCGGATTTATTATCACTGCCAAAAGTCCACACAATCTCAAAAAAAAACTAGGATGTGTACAAAGAAACGATCTTAAAATCTACGAACGAAACTATGAAATCCGACATTACTAAAAACATTTAGTTGTCTCTAGTGCTTTCTCATATCATGACACAGTCAAACTAGTTTTTGCATTAGGAAAATAGTTAGTATTTATTGTTTTTCTTCTAACAGTTATTTTTAATACTTTATATTAAATTCAGTAGTAAATTAAAATACTTAGTTATTGTTTTTAGGATTCGTTTTTTTTTGAGCATGCGTATTTCCAAGTTTCATAAAGTTTTGAAACATTCCTAGCGCTTTTATTATCCTGAGTGGAAAAGAAAAAAGAAAGAAAAGGAATAGGCGTAACTGGGTGTGAACGTTTTTAGCCAGACGGAAGCAAACTTCAATGTGTTGTGAATTATGTTCATGATATTTTATTCAAAAACTTTAATTTTTGTTTGAATTTCTTGAATGTCTTTTGAATAAAGTTAGTTCATTAATTACGAAATATAAGACCTGAGAGAAAATTTTCCTGCATCAACAAAACTTACCTTAACCCTTCGATTCCTAGCTACTGGGGATTTATACAAAAGTTTAATTAATCTGTTTAGGAATTCTGATAGTTGCATTGCACTATTCATCTCCACTCTATGCAGAGCTATTGCAGAAGTTCTTCGTAAATATATAAGGTTAAGTTATTTTGACTTAACCCTTCGGAGGTCGCGGTTATAAAGTGTACTTACTGTATAGGTCACGGTGTATCTCAGAGATACATTCGTTTAAGTTTAATGTTTCAATAAGATTAAAAACAAACTAATCGATATCGGAAGAAACGTTTATTTTGACCATAACTAATCAAAAAATATGCGGATTTAAATTAATTTATTGTCAAGAGAAAATAAAATAAATGCAGTATTAAGAAAATAACAAAATAAAAACATGTAATAACTATTATCATTGTTACTAATTCAAGGCAAAAATAACCCAAAAACATAATTAGATTTAGCTAAACTTAATCAGATTCATCAGCGGAAGGATTAGTAAAACGGTTACAACAACTGTTGCAAACAATATTGCTATGCTCAAGACATAAAAATGTGGTACAACATTTACAATAGTATTTGGACAAATGCTTCGTCTTTGTCGCATAGCAAGAACACCTTTTTCTTTTATTACCCGTTTTAGCAACATCTGGATCTGCCCCACTGGTTGAACTTTCCTCCTTATGTTTCTGAAACTGCAATGGTTTGTGAATACTGAATTGATCTGAACTGGATTGATCCATTCGTGTTTTTGAGCAATTATTGCTCAAAATATAAGCTATCCGTAATATACGATTACAAATTATTTTGGATAAAATTGGCATATTATGTGCGCTAAAAACTCTCACAAGGATTGCATTGCCCGTGTACTGAAAAGTCAAGGTATGAGGGAATATAGCAGTAAAAATTTAAAATTGCTTGAAAGTGTTACAATTTCGCACCATGTATGAACTTTAGTGACACGAGTAATAATTGCAGTTTCCTTTGAACAGATACCGTGGTTTCAAATAATAAAACAAAAGCTTATATGTAGGATATCTCGAAGTAATAGACATACTTTGCTTTGAAGATCAAGCTTTTTCAATATCGTGTTTTCTACATAAGCACGGCTACCATAGCCGATAATTGACAAAAAATAAAGAAATCGATACATAATCAAGTGTTATAGCCTGAGAGTCAATAAACGTGAAGTATTTTGGAAAGGTTTGCGTTGCTAAAAATATATATTTTCTTTAACTATTGTTTAATTCAGGTCCGTTTCTTACTTTTTTTAACATTGAAATTCGACGCAATTGCTGTCATTAACGCTAAACAGATTGAGGATATACACAAGAAAAAGAAACAGTCGTTCGCATAAAAATGCGTAGCGTTTGACCGCAGGGTTCTTTAGTTACGTTATTAATTAAGCTCTAATCATGAAAATTAAAGTTAGTTTAATTAAATGAACAACGTTAAAGGTAATACTCCTTACTTGTACTTTTACTTTTGTTAACAATATTCTTTATGCTAAAATATAACAAAAGACATACCCGTTGACAAATCAGAGTTAAGCAGATCATTTGGATTAATTCCTCGCTGATCAGTGGCTCTCTTTAATTTTATTCTTTCCGCAACTTTAGGTACAGGTGCGCTGGAGTAAAAGTTATTCCTTATGTTAGTCCGATGAATAGGTACTATATTACTGTATTTGATATCAACCTAGAAAAAATAAGAGTAAATTAAATATTATTAAAATACATACTGATTTAATATTAAAATTTCGTCAACAAGCTGTTTCGTCAATTGTTTTGGTGATGGTAATATTCGATACTATCTCTAAAGTATTACTGTGATAATTAACCGATAATAACTGAAATATATTAAACCTCATATTCTATAGGTTAGATATATGAGCTCTACACAGTAATATGGCTTAACAGCCAGTGTGATACGCCGCATTAGATATTTCACATAAAAAAACCACTTGGGCTTAAAAAATTGACCGAACCTCGATTTTAACTTTCATACTTTAGTGTACCCAGAAAGAGGGAGAGTGAAATCGAAAAACAGTTAAAACTGACCAGTTATTAAAATTGCGTATAATAGTATAGTTTTAAAATTGTAGGCACTAAACTCCAAGAAATGATAATAATTCAGCGTTATTCTTTGTCTTCCAGTGGCATACAAAAATTGTTTGTAAGAGTTAAAAGTAACCCTACTTGTATTGAAGAATTTTTAGAAACTATATGTACTACTATTCTCTCCCTAGCCCTTAGATATTTCTAAACAAATATGTCGAATCGACCATAAGACAACTGAATAATTCAGACGTTGATTATATGGACTAACAAAAAGGCAAAATATGCATACAGGATGCTTAAATTACGTAAAATATTTAAATTTATTTGCTGTGCAAGAGGTGAAAGTATTGCATCAATTACAAAAAGTATTTTTTAGTTTTTTAATTAGCATTTCATAAAATTAGTCCTAATAAAGCGAAAATAAAACCATTTTTAATGTTGAGTTATCGTTAGCAACATTATCAAGTACACGTGTAGGGCCTTGCAGAGTAAAATTTGAAATTGATCGAACATGACATTAAGGTAAATGACACTCTAGTTAGGCAAACGCCATTATCACTAAACACATAAAGTAAAAATTTTTCTTTAGAATTCGTTTTATATGGATCGATATTGAAGCTACCAGAAATAATTAAATACATGTTAGGTTTGACTATCTTCTAGATCTAGAGCAATTAAATATAATGACTTTTTATTTAAATATGCTTTATTACAAGAAAAAGTGGTTTTTATTCAAATTGCACTATTACCACAGAATAATAAAACAATTGTTATTTATTCTGTGTATTACCATCAATATGCGAGTGATAATAATTTGACGCTAGATAAAAATCAGATATACAATAACGAATAATATAGTCTGAAGGCTTCCATATTTTAGAAAAAAAAAGAAAATTTGTAGAATTAAAAAAATTCATCGTCATTTAATAAACTCTCATCACTCAATCTTTGTACATTGAAACATAAAACAATATATGCTTTAGGCTGCTCCCGTAAAAATCTAAACGCATTTTCACTTTTATTAATGTTTCGGAATTCCAATTATAGTTTAACAACAACTGGTTTGTTGATAACGAATTCTTTGTTGCTACTACTCCCTTAAACTTAACATTCTAACATTTCTATTTCCTTTCGTATGTATTAAAACACCGAAAAATATTTTCAATCTTTTTGCGTCGCTGAGATTGATAATATAAACACTTTTATTTTGTTTATATAACACAGATGGGTATTTCTTTGATATTTCTTTGATGCTGAATCCGCTTAAAATTGCGCGTCAAATAAATATCCACTTAGATTGGTGAAAAGTTATGCGGGGAGGCGAACGATTTTTAAGAATGATATCACTCTGCAATAGACCACGATACAAGTTAGGTCACTGTTTAGTCCGAATTTTTCTTTTTTAAATTCGTAATGGTTTTTTGTTATTCGTTTTTTGTCATCGGAAATTGGTTAGTAAGCAGTGAAGTGTAGTTAAGAAAGAGATTGATTCGGAAGAAATAGCTTGCGGGGTGTAGTTCTTCAAAGCCGGCAATTTTTTGTGGAGAGGTGAATTTGTTGAGTTAATCACCGACTGTTTGTGCTGTGCCTTATTTGAGAGATTTGTAAGACGGCGCGCGGCGTTTCCGACCATTTGAGAGGTCCACATGGTTTAAAGAAGAAATGTAGTAGGCGAGTTTTAAAGATTGCAGTTTGTTGTCATCCGGGTCAATCCGAAACCCGAATCAGTATCCAACTTCAACAGTGTGGGACAGATTTGTGTGTTTGTTGACAGTGTTTTGGTTCAATTCCGATCCCAAAAACTTTCTTAAAGGAAATACATGAGCCAGAGTGATATAAGGCACTTTTTGTTAATTTTTTTTAAGTAAAAATAGACAATTTTCAATAATATAAAATTTGCTTTCATGATAAATTAAAATTATAAATAAATGAAATTATAAATTTTATGGATTAGCTTTATTGTCATATTAGTTAAATGCAATTAATTTTAAAATTTAATTAATAATTGAAAAAGGTTTTCATTTGTATAATTATTATATCGAATATTTCATTTTGACATATGACATGTCAGTATTATCCTTTTTTTGAGAATTGATACATAACCATAAATTTGAATTGTTTTGTTTAAAGGTTAACCTCAATGTAAGCTCATTGATCAATCAAGCTTTTTGATTTCTGCCTTTGTAGGTACCCCGTCTAGTCCCTCTTTTATTCACTTACTTACAACCCAGCTCTCCAACCAAACCAAGAGTGGCCGTTCGCAGACGTTTCGGTTTGTTTGCTTACCCTATCTCCAGCCCAAGAATTGCTCAGTCCCTACTTTCAACCCGCTATAAGTGATACCCAATGTGGTAGGCAAATTATACCGTTACAACATAAAAACTAGACTCATCACAACTATCAACCAAAATATACTGAGATATTTTGGACATCTAACTAGAAGAAGAGAAGGCATGAAGCGAATGATAGTTGAAGGTAACGTAGCGGGTAAAAGAGAAAGATCTCCAGTACGATGGTCGGACCAAATAAAGGAGATGACTGGTTACTCATTCTCCCAAGCAAAACAGCACGCACAGGAGAGAGATAATTGGACAGAAATAGTCAAACCAATTACATGACGTCACTACATCCTTACGATGGAGAAAAGATTGAGGAGGAGAACTACTTCCTACCTACAGTACATCAGTACTGTAGTTCATCTGAAGCGGTAAATACGTTTTTATAGCGTTCTGACAAACATGGAAGGCGAAAATAGCCAAAGAAATCGTCGTCGGAAAAATTTTTGAAAGGTCAAAAAACTATTATATACAACATGTATTGTGGACAACGTGAAAGAAATGAAAATATGTTAAATGACGTTGTTACTATGTGTAGTGATTTGACTAAATTGTGTACGATAAGTGTTCACGGACATAATTCTAAAAGAAAAAAAAAGAAAAGAAAAAATTATCTAAATAGAAACTCTGTGTGTAAATAGAACGGTCTCAGACGGTTGACTGGATAAACCAAGCTGCACCCCTATAATTTTAGTCCTTTTACCTAAATAGGGAGTGTTGCAGGTATGCAGCAATTATTTCTTCCGAATTCCTGAGATTGATGTAGAATTCTTTACAAAACAAAAACATTTGACCCCAAGGTACTCACAGAAGGACCCAACTAACTCTAATAATTCTATTGAGACTGTTCGCCAGATTCTGAAAGAGAATAAACCCACTACATTTGGTAATACAAATACTGAGGATGTTATGCGAAATCTTTTGAAAGATACCAAGAGGTTTAAGGATTCTCGGCCAAAAATATCTGAGCCACAGAGAAAGATGTTCCGGAAAATGAGGAAACAAAAAATTGACAATTCTAAGGTCAAATTACTTCATATATCTCAAAACAGTACTCTAGGGAATGCCGAATCACATCAGGCTATTAAACGCATTGCGTTTGCTAGAAGAACTACTGCAACCTCTTCTAAGATGCTCAGCGGCAACTAGAAAGCTGCTCTTACAGGATACCTGTCATTCTCAAAGAGAATCATTGTGGCAATAAAAGTTGTCCTTGTTAAACTTATCGACGAGGCTCCTTGCGCTCCTCATTACGAAGGAAACCGAGTCATGGATTCTATGCTGCAAATCAATCAACGGAGGACAGCATTTGAGTCTCCAGATTGATAAAGAGTCAGAAGAAGAACTCCAAAGGCTTCAATGAAAGCCTTGCTAACTTTTCCAGTGAGCTAGGCGTTATCACGTTGATAAAAGGTGAAACAGTTGGGAACCATGGAGTTATCGAATGCTGAAAAAATTTCCAAACCATAGGAGGCCGAAGGTGAATCTATGCAAGTGAAAGAAATTACAAAAGGGCCTGTTGGAGGCTCCAACAGTTAATAAACTGCCAATTCAATATCGTACAGATCAATTTGCAGTATAAAAAATAGCTTCGGCATTATTGTTTCAGAAAATCGCTAAAAAGAACAGTGACATGGTGCTTATTCAAGAACTGTGGATAAATGAAGGTAAGATACAGGAACTAAGTTTTAAGAGATAGTAACTAATTTTGGGAGTATCAGACACAAAAATAAGAACTTCTCAGAGCCTACAAAAGTATCTTTTGTAGGTCTGACCTTAACCTGAAGCTCTGCAAGTGAGACATGACAGCTGCCAGAATAAAACTGAAATGCCGTTGGTTGTTTATACAGGGTGTCCCATAATTAATTAGACATTAGCTAATGGGTGATAGCTGACATCAAAATAAAGCGTTTGAGATCAAATTGATTAGGAAAAATGTTGCTAGTTTTCGTTCTACAGGGAGATTCATTAATATTTTTTTATATTATTTTTATGGATATATTGAAAACTATTCAACCGAATTAAGTAAAATTTGGTATTTTGCTATTATTTAGTATGCTTAATATGAAAATGATATTAGTTTTACCGATGACACTAGGTGGCGCCACCTACTGTAACATTGGTTCATTAATGGGGCCATAATTTTTTCGTCCGTCCTGTATAAACATTCTAGGAAAAAAAAACATGAAATAACATTCAATTCTACACAAAAAAGGTTATTCTTGTTTCAAATCAAAAAAGTACACCGTTTTCGAAATAAACGTATTTTGTTAATGATGCATGTCTCTATTTAATTTTTTGC